AATATCTCTTTGGATTTGAGACTTTAGTCTTTGCAACTTTACAGATCTTCTTTATGCTTTAAGAGCTTGTAACTATGGAAGCCCGTTTCCGCCACTGAATAAAAAATAAAACAGGTAATTGTGACTTTTTATCTCACAATTCTGACTTTTTTTCTCAGAATTGCGTGATATAAACTCGCAATTGCGAGTTAAAAAGTCATAATTGAGAGATATAAACTCGCAATTCTGAGAAATAAAGTCAGAACTGCGAGATATAAACTCACAATTCTGACTTTTTTTCTCGCAATTCTGACATTTTTCTCTCAGAATTGTGAGATATAAACTTGCAATTCTGAGAACATATCAGTCTTTTTCCCCCCCTCAAAACTGGACTTTAACTCATAATTGCGAGTTTGTATCACGCAATTCTGACTTTATAACTCGCAATTGCGAGTTTATATCTCACAATTCTGTGAAAAAAAGTCGCAATTAACGTGACCTTTTTTACAGTTTTTAAGAGAACGTCAGAATTGCGTGATATAAACTCGCAATTGCGAGTTAAAGTCCAATTTTGAGGGGGAATTGCGATTCAATTTGAGTTTTGGCAGGTTACATGCGCGACGCAGCGAGAGTGAAAAAGCAGACGTGGTAATTAATATTGCTATTTAAATATGATAGGCTCATAACTCCTAAGACATGGGAAATACGGTTGCAAATGGACTTTGCTTTTTCATTTGAAATTTGGCAGTCACTGCGTTTGCGAAAGCGAAAATGCAAACGGTAATGTAGGATTTGCAATTGCATTTGGATTATGTCACAATTTATGCGTCCACATATTGAAAACGCAATTGAAAATACAATTTGCTATTCTATTTAAAAATTGTCCGGAATATCGTTCCATATGTAACACTTCAAAGAGAAAGGAAAAATTGAAATCGCATCATATGACCTCTTTAAACACGTGAGGATATTTGTCTCACTCCAACCGCACAATATTCCTATTTGCTGCAACACACTTTAAGGACTGGTAGTCACCCATATAGTGTCTGTAAAACTATATTTTTTCATATTTTCTATAAAGTGTATGTAGTATGCGACAGGGTTGTAATTGCATTACAATGAGTCACTGAAGGCTGGATGCTTGTTGTGTCTGATAAATAAAATACAATTAAACTGCTAAATTCATAGGTACACATCACAAATTCAATCATTCTAAATGTGTTCTTTTTTTAGCAGAAGAAACAAAATTAAAAACAACAACACTGTGGACTTTGGATTTTTCACAGATGAAAAGTTGTTTGACTTTTTCTGCCAAAACAAGACAAAGATGTCTACAATAGAAGAGCCGTTGATGTTTCTCCGACATCTCAAGGACAATAGACTCATTACAGATGAGCTTTATGTAAGCATGATCTTTCTCCCAATTCTGTGAAAAAAAAGTCAGAATTGTGAGATAAAAAGGCGCAATTACCTTTTTTTTTTTTTTTAATTCAGTGGCGGAAACGGGCTTCTTCCATATGTAACACTTCAAAGAGAAAGGAAAAATTTAAATCGCATCATATGACCCCTTTAAACACAAATAGATATACGTTGACTCATATAAACATACTTGATTTCTTAAGATAAAATATTGGTTTTACCTTTGTTTATATCTGGAATGTCCTTCCATTCCTCTGTAGTGCCAATGAGGAAATTTGTAATGAAGAAAAGAAAAAGACAGAGAGGTGAATTAAAAAAACATTAATTTTAGAAAAATTTAGACAAAAACATTATTTTAGTGAAACAGCTAGAAAGTAAATTGATAAAAGAGCATTACATATTCTGGAAGTGATCAAAACAGGATCTGTTACACTGCACACTGGAGACATATTACAGTAACTTTACAACAAATCAATATCTATGACTGTGCTGTACGTACCAACTATATCTGGTGGGGGCTGAGAACACAAGAATACAATAATTAGACATTAAGAAAAACAGATTTGAAAATCAACAACTGTACATCACCCGTACAATGTACTATAACAAACTGTCAACTATCGCACTTACCATAGGTGATGCAAAACAAAGAGCCAAAGCTGAGCTCAGCAGAAGAAAAGCACATACATGCATTTTCACTGGAAATGAACACATTTGATGACTGACGGTTATCACTTGCATTAAAATTCACAAGCAAATGGATACACTAAGACTTTTTTAGGTGTTTAATCATTTTAAAATAATATCTGTTAAATTTAAAACAGGCCATCAAAATATGTGATTTAAAACTCTAGCATAAAAGGGGCATACATACCAGTTTTCAATCATCAATGGCTGAAGTTATAATGAAAAACTGCTTGACCACTCAGCTTGGCAAGTAAATACCAAGTGAGATTCTCTTAAAGTTTGACAAGTCATTTAAATATGTGGACAGTACAGTTCTATTACACTTCCTTATACTGTGCGCCCATACAGAAAAAATAAGACACAGAGAACAGAGAACACACCTAGTCTGATATTAAGGTTTAACATTTGTAATAACATATTGATTAGCAAAAGCAACCCATATTTACCAAACTGAGTTTTTCAATTAGCACATTTTTGTATCGTATATTGACTACAGATATATTTTAACTGCAGAGATTTGCAGTTATTTTTAGCTTATTGTTTTTTATTAAAGCGACTTTATTGTTTATAATCATATCACAGTATTATCATCAAGATTTTGGTAGACCTGACCAACTCCCTAAAGTAAAAACAAACAAACTAAACAAAAAAATATGTAATAATAATAATAAATAAATAAAATAATAATAATAATAATAGTAATAAAAGTAAATCATTGTACATCTTGTCAGGAAGTTACAGCAGTACAGATTTTTGTCATGCAGCCTAAGGGGCCGTTCACACAGAACACATTTTTCCACCCACTGGATTTTGCAGTTTCGTGCATGACAGGTTTCTAAAAATCTGATACTTAAGTTAAAGTTCAATAAAAAAAAAACAATGCTGGGGGTTGGTGTTAAAGAATTGTGTTATAATAACCCCTACAAATACAACTCATTACATACACTATAAACACTTTAAAGGAGACAGACATGTAGATGTTTCTGAAAGATTTTTCTCTGTTTGGGAGGGATGATTTATTTTAAATCATACGCTATTTATTACATCAAAATTTGTTAATACTTTACTATATTTAAGGGTGGATAATTTTATCAGTTGTTTATTGCAACAATACATAACTACAATAACTTTGTCTAGAGCTCTTATGAAAGTTTATAGCATGATTTGTGAAAATTTAACTATACTGAATGACATGGCATAGACTTCTTCATGGCTAGTTTTTGCGTTTTTCATTTCATTCTGTAACCTTGTTCTACAGGTCTGTGTGGACTAGTGTTAAATGCTACTGTTTTTGACAGCGTTGGTAACGTTTATGACATGATAATATCATGATAATTTTTGCGTTTTCCTTACCGAATGTCGTGTCCTGTCAGCAAAAACCTGTCCACGGGCGTTGTTGATTGATTTCTGTTCACTGTAAGTGCCGGCGATGCAGTGTTGCCAGATATTGATACTAAAACAAACAAAAAACTAAAAATAAATAAAAATAAAAATAAACCAAATTTATTTCCAACCTTTTGCAAATAATATAAAATAAAGATATCGCTGACTCTAAACTGCAACTTCCTACTTTATTAACTTTCTAAAGTGTTAAATTAAGTGTAAAAGACCACAAACGCCTATAATAGCTGGATCTGGCAACACGGAGGCTGCACCCGCGCCCTCACTCACAACTCTCTCAAGCCTCGTTCACTCCGCCAACGTCTCGCAGCGATCATTTTCATACCAGGGACGCTACACATTCTTGCAAACTGTCTAAACTGAATTATACATGTCATGCTGGCATTCATACAAGAAGTTTAACAGCAAATTAGTCATTCAAAGAACAAATGTTATTTTTGAACATGAAAAACTTACCGAGGTCCGGACTCAGAGGTGGCCTCATAGCTGGTTAAGGGCCTGGTCTTGAGGCCTTGTCTTTCCCCATTCCACTACCAGTGCCCAGAGGCGGACAGTAACTAAGTACATTTACTTGAGTATTGTACTTAAGTACACTTTTTGAGCATCTGTACTTTACTTGAGTATTATTTTTTCTGGGAACTTATGACTTTAACTTCACTACATTTGAAAGACAAATATTGTACTTTTCACTCCACTACATTTCTATCAAGGTCCTCGAAGTAGAAAGTCATTAGCA